AAGGCAACCAGGGCTGTATCAGCACCCATTTGCTCTCCCGCTGCCAACAATCATGTCCACCAGGGCCCAACAGCCATGCATTCAGCAGCAGGCCATACTTCCCTGAGCCCCCCTTTCAACTTCCAGTGGCCCTGTGGTATGTCAGCAGGCTGGACAGAGCAGCTCTACTTCCAGCACCCCTGCCCTAAATCAAGACAGGGACCAGCACCCTGATCAGTATGAGGGCAGAGAGGTGCCCTCCAGCTTATGGCAAATGGTCAGGGAGCCTCCCAGCTGCCAGGCTTTGGGAAAGATGTTTCTAGAAAAATAGCAATCATTTCCCCATGCAAAGTGCTATCACTGCCACAGTTCATACAGCAGAGCTGCAGTCAAGCCTGCCACCTGTTTTGGTATGCAATGGACCAATTGGCACAAGGCACACTTTACTCCATCCCCCAGCACAGAGGCACCTCACTGCTGCACAGGCGAGCCAGGAGAACTGCTCGGATCAGCTATGAATACCAACAGGGGTCCCAATAGAACAGGGGTATCAAACTCCAGCCACATCCAGACTGTAGGGTTCCTCCTGGGCTGGATCCAGCTGCTCTAACTTTGGACACACAGTGGCAGCAGCAACTCCAACTCCTGCAGCATGCCATGCACACAAGCTGCTGCATACCCCATACTGCTGCAGCAAGTCTGGTTCTGGCACACAGCTGTAGGGGCTCAAGCATAGGCTGGCAATAATGCCACCTGCAAGGAGGTAGGGCTGCAGTGGTAGCTACAGGACAATTAGCTGGAGAGTGACCAGGACTATAACAGCTCCTGCTCATTCTCCTGCTGATCAGAGCCACATCCTCTGGTGCCCAAGAGCCTTGGATGGCAAGCTACTCCCCCTGGCTATAGCCCCTAGCTTCCAGCTGCCCACCAGTGATTCAGCAGGCCAGATACACAACCCATGGGTCAGATGCGGCACACAGAGCAACTGTTTTGACACCACTACAACAGAGTATTTGGACACAGCCTTCCCAACCCCCAAAAGAAACATGCTAACAGGTCTCTCAGCTGGACAAAGTGGGATTTAGCACCTAGAAGCCATGACCCACCAACACTAACCTGCAATTTGAAGACTACCTAACAAGTAACCAGAAATACCCGCTTTCATGCTTTAGTTTAGAAAGTGTCATGAGTGGCTTGTGGATACCTGTCCCTTGCACCTGAATACAGCAGCATGAGCTGGTTAACACTGCTTTCCACCATCCACCCCTAGCTACATCCAGCCTAGATAAATCTGTCACCTTGTTTTAGCAGTGACAGGGCTGCCTGACTATTCTTAGCACTAGGAGGCGGCAACAATTTGCTCATAGTAGAAGGGGTGTTAACAGGAGGCAAGACAAACTTCTCACTTAAGAGACTGGACTTCTGCAAGGCCCTGTTCACCTGGTTTTTCCTTTTTTATTTAAAAGGACAAATATTTCTAGTACTTTAAGTAAAAGCCAATGAGCATCAATAAAAAGCGAGTAAACTCATCTGTTGAGTCCTAAAGCATTTTGGCTTAAGGCTTATGTTTTGGCTACCAAAAATGAGACTGAGAATGCTGCAGGTAGCATTTCCTATCTCCTCCTTCCTTTGTTCCCAGTTAAAGTAGTTAGTTTAACTTGCCAAAGTCAATGTGCAAAGCAATGTTAACATCCTCCAAAGGCCTGAAAATATGTTGGTTTTTGCAACACCACTCCAGAGGCTTTGGGCCATCGGGGAAAGATTGTGATTTCACTGAATGTAGTTCCTTCTTGTCCCCATTGAATATTGCTAGCTGAAAGCAAGAAAACTCTTTTGTCAATCAACTCCAAACTGCTTGGCTGTATATAACCTGAATGGGGAAGAGTCTAATGTTTTGACAAAATTCCCTTCACCAGTACATCAAATGTTTTTTGTTCACTTATGCAACCAGTAGTAAGCGCACTTTAATGCTGCAATACTTACAAATAGCTTTGCTGCTGTTTTTGTCAGATGTTGGAGATTTTACTTCTTGTTCAAGTTCTAGACAGACAAGGGAAAAAAGTGAAGTTTAACACGCGTCCCATTTAAATTCCTTTATATGGAATCACCTGCCTCAGTTCTATTAAAAGGATATATGTTTTCCTTTGCTAGGTCTGTCTCCGTCTCTCTGTCCCAATGAGCATACTTATGTTCAGTCCAGTTTAGTCCGGATTCTTTCTGACAGCAGGGCCCACTGTGGTTTGGATGTTTTCATTCCTCCAAAGGGCAGAGGTGAGATGCAGGTTCAAACTCCCCTGGGTTGAGAGGTACATAAAACCCGAGCCTCCCATTTGCTGGGCCAGTGCCAAAGCCACAAGGCTATTGAGCTAACAGGAGAAAGGGCCCTCCCTTCTCTTTTCACTAATCATGGTTTTTCAGGTAACCCTTACAACTGATACCTAAGAAAATTCATGTCTTCTACAGGGAAGGACCTGGTGCTGCAGATCACCATCTCCTATCCCTGTCAGTCCCCAGTAGTCTTGGCTCTGTCACCTGAGGTTTTACACACAGATATTCCTACTTTGAGTAACTTACACTGAGCTCCATGCATACAGGAGGATGGAGGGGCACTTCTAGCTGATGAAGGCTCAGAATTTTGTCGTGGAATTTGAGGTAGAATGCCCTCAAATTTAAAAAAAAATAATCAAGTTTCCTTAACTCTCTCGTTCTCTTGGAAAACTATTTACAGATGTACAGATGTCACGTGCATCTCAGACACAATGAGCATCTGGTATGCCTGCAGCAGAGGGATAGTCTCACACGAAGGGCAATTTTTTAATCATGGTGATTCCAGTCACACAGACTCATCCAAGCACTCAATCTGTACTGAACTGCAACAAAAGCTTTCCCCTCACAAAAAAGGGAGAAGAAAAGCTATCAAATTACTGACACTAAGCTTAACCACGATTCACCCAAGATATATTTAGAGATATTTTGCATAAGAAAGAAAAGCAGCATATGAAATGGAAATGGAGACACACACACACAATGCAAGTTTTGGCTTTTAGCAATAAACAGAGAGAAGGAACTGAGGGGCAGCTGAAGCTGTCCCGTCCTTTATGACCTTCTCTGTGGGCTGAAGACACTTCAGGACAGGTGCAGCAGCCCCAAAAGGAATTGCTGCCTAAGAGAATCTGGATACAAAAGCCCTGGACACATACATGCCCACATTGGAATGTATATGTGCATTTTAACACACAGACAGACATTTAAAGAACATGAAAAAGGAAGATTCAACTCCTGAAAAGTTCTCTTTTTTCAAATAAAAGTTTGCAATGTTTCTGGTTTTAGCTGACAGCCCTAATCTAATGTATCCCATCAACTTGGGGAACAGTCACCTAACCTAGTGTTTAGCTAAGCAAGGCTGGAAAAAAAAAAATAATGATGCTATAAAACCTTTGCCCAAAAAGAATTCCAAACCAGATGCATTATGGAAGATGCAACTTTACAGGATGGTATTCAAGTTTTTATTGAGGGCTGGTCTTTATGTTAAATTTGCAGAAACCATGGCGGTTTAAACATTTGGGGGAAAAATGGGTTCTCATATGCATGATTCAAATGAATTTTAGCATTAGGATCCAAGAGCTTAATGCATAACATGTACCCAGTGTAATTGCACAGTTCTCTAGATAAGGTTTCATATTGCTGTACCCAGCTGGTATGTTTGTCAGGACAACTGAGATCCACCCAGTCTTGCTTCCTTTCCTGTTGACAGAGCTCCCTTTTATTAAGGGAACATAGGGTACATTATGGTTTTATTTCATCTGAGTGCAAAGAGCCTGCAGACATTGTTTTGGGTGGAATTTGCTATAAGAGGAATGAAACGAGCAATTCTGATATTTCATCTATTTTAAGTTCCACAGGAGATGGCCCCCAGTTTCCACCTTGTGAGACAAACTGCAGGCAGTAGTACCATGCAGTGCCACCTCTGTGTCCCTACATATTTATAATCACATATAGCAGGGACAAGGATTCCTGTGTAGCTCTCCCCCCCC